TTTGAGGAGGGAGAGGAGAGGATGGCAATGATGCCTTTGATCTGGAATTGGACATTCGCTCTGCTGGAGCACAGAGGAGGCTCAGCCACATCCTCTCTCTACTACTTGGCCCAGCTGCTTGGAGGACCCATGGCTGAGAATGTGGAGGCAAGAGGAACGGAGTTTTGCTCCAAGTGGGAGAGGTCCCAAGCAGTCTAGACAAGATGTCTATGCGGCTTTCCCTCCTTATTTCCCCCAACTCCCACACTGGCCCTTGTAAATACATGGCGTGGTCTTCGTTGGAAAAAAAAAAAAAAAAACTACGATGAGATATCACTGCACACCCACCAGGAAGGATGTAATCAAAATAACAAGTATTTGCAAGATGTGGAGAAATTGGAACCCTCATACATTACTAGTGGGAGTGTAAAATCGTGCAGCCACTGTGAAAAGTTTGACAGGTCCTCAAAATGCTAAACATAGAGTTACCATATGACCCAGCAGTTCCACTCCTAGGTATACACCCAAGAGAATTGAAAAGGTATGTTCACACAACAAGGTGTACACAGAGGTTCATAGCAGCATTATTCATGATAGCCACAAAGTGGTAACAGTCCAGATGTCCATCAACTGATGAACGAATAAATAAAATGTGAAGTATTATTATTATTTAGCCACAAAAAGGAATGAAGTACTAATACATACTACAACATGGATGAACCTTAAAAACATCATGCTCAGTGTAAGAAGTAGACACAAAAGGCCACATAGTGTAATGATTCCAGTTACATGAAGTGTCCAGAACAGGCAAATCCATAAAAGACAAAAAAGTAGATGGATGGTTGCCAGGGGTTGTGAAGAGGAGGGTATTAGAGTGACTCCTGACAGGTACAAGGTTTCTTTTTGGGGTCATGGAAATGTTCTGAAATTAGATGGAATGGTTGCACATCCGTGTGAATATATTAAAAACCAAGGAATTGTACATTTTAAAATGGTAAAGTTTATGCTGTGTGAATTATAAAAAATGTTATAGAAGCCCAGAGGACAGAATAATTAATTATGTGTGGGGTTGATGAGGGTCAGAGAGGGCTTCATGAGGTGATGCTTGAGTTGGGTTTAGTCTGTTGAGACCAGAACATTGAAAATGTCACTGGTTGGAAAGTGTATTGGGCCTTGAACACCAGGATGAACTTGAAGTTTCCGAAGGCAGTGGGAAATCGGTCAAAGGATTTTGAGTAGGAGAGGGATAACATTTTCAAATGTGTGTTTTAGAGAAGTAACCATCTGGGAAGCTGTTGCAGTAGTGCAGAAAAGAGATGATAGATTTAGCAAGAACAGTATGAGAAGGACAGAAATGGGAGACATCGCAGAGGTCAAATCTCAGAGTGTATCACTTGGAAGTGGGAGAAGGCAAAGGAGAAGAAAGAGTAAAAGGTGACCTCAAGTTTAGATGCCTGAGTACATGCTGATGCCATTGATGGAATAAGGTAGAGGAGAGAAGCAGGGTTTAGGGATAAGAAACCAAGGTCAGCTTTGGACGAACTGAGTTTTGAGCTACCTGTGGGACATTCAGATAGAGACCGCCCACCAGGCATATGGAGATAACAGGGCCAAAGCTCAGGAGAGAGGGCTGGGTTCAAATAGAGATTCAGGATTCTCAGTGTATAGATGGTAGTTGAACTTGGGGATGGGATGAGATCACCCAGGGCACCAGCGCAGAGAGAAGATAGCTGAAGATGGAATTTTGGAACTTACGTGCTTCTGTAGTCACTGCACCAACCCCTAACATCACAGCACTTGCTATTATGTGTGTATTGTAATTGTTTACTCCTTTTCCCCATTAGACTAAGTTCCTTAAAGGCAAGGACGGTGCTTCTTAGCTCTACATTTGTATGGTCCCCCACACCTAGCACCAAACCCATAAAAACCAAACCCATTGCCGTCGAGTCAATTCCAACTCATAATGACCCTCTAGGACAGAGTAGAACCGCCCCACAGAGTTTCCAAGGAGCAGCTGGGTGGGTTCAAACTGCCAACCAATGGTTAGCAGCCGAGCTCTTAACCACTACGCCACCAGGCTCCACACCTCGCACAGTGCCTGGTATATATTAGCTCTCAGGAGATGTTTGTGGAACTGAAGACAGCGTAGATTGAAGAGAGGAGGCAGGGATAAAGCTGAAGTCAGGGTATGAGGAGAGACAAGAGAGGCAAGTTGGGAAGCCACGGGAGAACACTGTGAGGAGGAGAGAATTCCAAAGAGCTGGGGTTGGATGAGATGAGGACCAAGACGAGACCATTGGGTTTGGTAATTCTGTCATTTTGCTCTCGGAAAGAGTAGCTGTAGCGAGGAAATGGGGAGGAAACCAGAGTGTTGTATGTTGAGGAGTGACTGGAAGAGGTCTGAGGCTCTAAATGTAGGCGCTTCTGAAACATTTGGCTGCGAAAGGAGAGGTTGACAAATGGGGCAGTATCTTGAAGAATCAGAGTTAATGGAAAAGGTTTTGTTGTTTTTTCTCTTTGTTTTAAGACAGAAATTTTGAGCATTTTTGTGGGATGAAGGGAAGGAGCCGTTGGAAAAGGAGAGCTTGAAGATACGTGAACAGTGCCCGAGATGAGCCTGGAGGCAGCTGGAAATTAGCCTTTATAGAGAATTTAAGACAGTTTCTCTTCTGAAGCAGGAGGAAGGAATGGCTAGAGATATTTTGAAGTAGAATAAAGGGGTAGTGGTATTTCAGGGTAGAAGTCTCGCCTCTCATGCTGGAGACCTGGGTTTGATTCCCAGCCGCTGCACCTCAGATGTAGCCACCACCCACTCGGTGGGGGCTTTCGTATTGCTGTGATGCTGAACAGGTTTCAGCAAAGCTTCCAGAGTAAGAGACTAAGAATAAAGGCCTGGCAATCTACTGTCAAAAATCAGCCAGTGAAAACCCTATGGATCACAGCGGTCCATTCCCTTTATGCATGGGGTCACCATGAGTTGGGGGCCAACTCAGGGCAGTTAATAACAAAGCTGAGAAAATTGGAGGCTTGATAGGCATGGAGAAGGTGAAATATAAAGTGCGAGGAATTATCACCTAGCAGTGAGGCCCCAGATGAACTAAGATAATACGTGAACCCAGTGTCTTTAATTATTTAACCAACAAAATTCATTGAGCATTTCCTCTTGTAAAATAATAATAGGTGCCATGTATTCGGTCGTTACTTTGTACCAGATGCTCTGCTAAGCACTTTACATAATCTCATTCAGATCTTAACAGCCACCCCATGAGACAGGTATTGTCATCTCCATTTTATCAATGAGGACATACTGAAGCTTACCCAAGTCTGCACAGCCCAAGTCTATTCAAAGCCAGATCTCCCTGACTGCAAAGCCCAGGCTCTAAACCACTCCGCTGCACTCCGCTGGGAGCTGTGAGGAGTACTAGCTGAGGGTTAGAAATGGCTCCGGGCTATGGGCTGGGCATGGGGGTAGCTGGCTGCCCTAGTCAGGGCTTCTTCCTCTCACCTCCTGTGGTTCCCACTGTCTGTATGTCTCCTCTTCAGGCTTTTTTGTGTACTGGCCTGAACAGTCACTTGGATAGTTCACGCTCGAGTAGTGGTCAGGGAAGACAACCTTATTTCAAACATGAGACTTACGCTGGGCCTGGATGGAGGTCAGGTTTGGACAGGCCTCTGTCTTTTGTCCTTCTTCTCCAGTTGCCTCATGTCTTCTCTTTCTGGTCATTTATACCTTTTCCTGATCCTAATAATGGTGAAGTAATGTGCATCTGCTAGAAGACAGAGTTCTCTCCTTTCTCCTCTGTGTTTTGGGGTAACTGTCTGTTCTTCCCACTGGTGAGTCATCCATTCTCTACTAACCAGCCCTCTGCCTTTTCCCTCCTCCTCCCCCATGCCCTCACCCAGCGTATCTGTGAGGTGTATAACCGGAACCCCGCCAGCCTGCTGGAAGAGCAGATCGAAGGTGCCCGGCGGCGTGTCTCTCAGCTACAGCTGAAGATCCAGCAGGAGACTGGTGGCTTAGTGGTGAGTGATGGTAGGCACAGCTCCAGGAAGGGCACCACGCAGGTGGACTGGGCAGAATGAGGGAGGAAGTTAGGACAGAAGGCTTCCTGAGTCATGCCAGGACCCCAAGGCTGAGCTAATAAGGGGTTAGTATTTTACAAAGAAACAGAGGTCAGCAGTTCTTTATGTAGCCCCAAAGAGGCCGAGCATTGTCCTGGCACTTGGGTACTGTACAAAGAAAAAGCCTATTTCTTGCCCTCCAAGAGCTTACAGTTGCAATGGAAGGAAAGAAAGAAGAAATGAATCCAAGTATCTGCTTTAGTCTTCTAATCATCCACCCACTTCTGAGTGGTGTCCTTAGAGTTGGCGTACATTCAGAGACTAGACCGGTCTACTCATTACTCACCTGCTAGCTTTTTTACCACCCACCCCTCAGGTAATGGGTCTTCTCAAAGAAATTCAAGTACAAATTAAGGTCATCCCAAGTAAGGGATCCTCAGTCAGTTGAGAAGAATCTATCTCAGCAGCTTTGTGGAAAATCCCATAGAGGAGACATCTCTTTATCTATTCTAGTCAGGGACTTTTACCATTAGTGTTTTATCTCCAGCAGGCCTTAATTCTCCGGGTAAATAAAAAGCAATGCTCCAGAAACTTTAAGGTCTCCAAGAATAATATTTGCTAAAGCCAGTAGAAATTATTTGGGGATTAGCTACCTTTTTTTTTTTTTTAAAGAGTATCCGCATCTAAAAAAGTTTGAGAATCTCAGGCTAATCGAACTTTGATTTCCTGAAGGACTTGCCAGTATCACATGGCTGTTACAAGCTCAGGTTCTGTACTTAGAGTGTCTGGGTTCAAATTCCAGCTCTAGGATAGGACTTACCAGCTTTAAGATCTTGGACAAGTTACCTAATCCCTGAGAGCCTCAGTTTCCTCGTTTACAAAATGGAGATCACGATACATAACAACAGTAGGCCTATTGGGAGAATTCACTCATGCCCTTGGCACAGCGGGTGGTACACATGTGCTGCTGCCACTGTTGTGTCTGTGTGCTCCTGTACCGTGAAGTGGTGAGCCTGAAACACCAGGCTTGGAACCTGGAGACCCGCGTTCAAACCTGCCGCATCGTTTTCCCCCATGTAGCTTGGGCAAGTTGCTTAAGATCTCTGAGCTTCTGTTTCCTCATTTGTACTGTGAGGGTAATATACCTAAGTCAGCATTGTTGAAAAATTAAACGAGACATAGAAAAGCACCTTAGAAACGATAAAGCACTGTCCACAGAATTTCCTCCCCATTAGCTGGGTCAGTCAGTCCCAGGCCGACGCCTCTCAGTC